ACAAAGCTGGGGGGGTTACAAGGAAGTCAGTCCCAATCCCATTTTCCAGTCTCTGTCCTGCCTCGTGCAATCTGAGCAAAGGAAACAGATTTTTACAAAAATATGCATATATTTATATATAAAAATACAAAATAAAGTACATTAAATAAGGGGTCAATATACATCCAGTGAGTTCAAAGGATTTTGAGTTTTCCTATCCCTCTCACCTCCCATCCCAAAAAACATTCAGTCACTTAAATTTGTGGGGAAACTGGCAGTTAGTGGTTTTAATCTTGCTGAAGATAATGAAATGTACTTCTGTGAATCTCTTGTTAGGAGAAATATCCAGTCTGGGGTAGCAGGTAGAGATGGAATACAGTCTCTTTTTATTTGAAAACTGTCTTTGTGAAGCACCAGTGCCAAGTCCGGCATATAAAATAATGCGGTCATAGGTGAGCCGGAGGACCCCATGGGGGCCAAATGTATTCTTTAGTTATCCTGTAAAATAAGGGAGGAAATGTTAATGACTATAAAGTTATAAAGCAGACCCACCAACATAAACCATTCTCTTCAGGTTTTTATGCTACTGTTTGCAGAACATTTGGCTGAATTAAAATGTATGTGCACCAGTGATGGTCAAGACAACACTAATTATCAAAGTATAGCTAAACCCAAGAACAAAAATATAATATATTGCATATCCTTAGATGTGGTGCCTGCATATGTTTTCTTTTTTTAGGCTAAGTACATTTTCTGCAAGTCCAAAAATACATGTTCTTTCAGAAATCTTGAATCCTTGAAACTTCCTATATACTGAACTGAAATCTCAAATGACAGTATTTCCAGCTATCTTCTACAAATAACAATACACATACCCCTAAGTACTGGGGATGAGGGGGGGGGGGCATGTTTGTAGTCCAAATCAAGGGAGCAGTCTAGGGTGACAACACTGCTACTTCCTCACCCTAGGATGAGAATTGTGTTACTGACAGGATCATCAAGTAAAAAGCCTGAAAAAACACTAATACAGCCGCCTGATCTAAGGACAGGTTTGTTGCAATACTTTTTTTAAGTTTGTACACTTTAAGAGGAATAAATAGGAATATCGTTTGGATCACAATAGGGCACTTTCATCAATACTAGTACTGGTAATGCCCACATCTTCCACTCTGGTGGTGTGCATTGCGCACAATAGGAAATGAAAGTAAATATTAGGTTTTTAGTCTGGCAGCTAGGAGTGCATACACTAAGTTGCATTTTGCAGAAGTAACATTCTGTTCTCCAAACAGATTGATATTGTGTTCAGCTTTTAAAGCAATCCTGTACTAAGAGAATATGGAGGTTGTCATTGCTGATCTCTTAGATTCTAGTTGCCTGACTGACTTGCTGATCCAATGGCTTCAAAGAAACACACCTGGAGCAAATACACAAATCAGGAGTTCTGACCTCATTCTTACTTTCTAATTTCAGTTCCTGTTCTGGGTCAAAATACTAAAACCACAGGCAGTTATAATTCTTAGAAGGTGGATAGTGACGGCAACCCCATATTATTCTCAGTATGATTTGCCTTAAAAAAAAACATTTATCTTAGACCACTTAATATTCTAATTGTTACAATAACTGAACACATGGGATTATTAGTGAATTGGTTAATTAGAGAAAGAAAGCATCTGTGCATTTGTAAAACATGGCACACTGGCAGTTTTTGGGCACAATTAAGGAAAATTTGTCTTGGAGACAAGCATATTATATCATGTAAATAATCCATCTTGCCAAAATAATGATTGCCTTGACAAAGAAGCAATAAGAAGAGATTAGCATTTCATAATATAGTGCTTTTAATTCTACTTTACTTATTGAGATTTCAGTATTGCAGCTTAGTTGTGAGACTCTCCCAGAAATCTTAAAAATCAGTGACCCTAACATTAGCACACTACCAACAACAGTATCAAAATGAATACAAGCATGTATAAAAAGAATTCCCAAAAAGCTTCATTGGAGTACACAGAGCATATACAGTGTCAAAATGACAGCCAGGATAAGCTGTGTAAAAATGAACCATATGACAAAGTGTTTATAAACACTGTTCAGGCAGAAGCTACCCCAACCCCACAGGAGATCACTCTACCACTCCACTACTATCTAGGGGTTATGGTCCACATCAAACATCCCTCAAATCAATAAAATTAGATATTTGAGGGATATTATATATATATATATATACATATATATATATATATATAACTTTATCTTAAGTAACCACACATGTATTGCATTAACAGGCCCAGAGCAGAAATGTAAAAATTTCTGTGGCCCATAGGTATGCACAGGTGTGAGAGCTGAAGTGGTTAAATAATTGTCCCTAGGTCAAATACAGCGGGAATATATTATACTTGCAGAATTAATCTTGTAACTGTTTGTAAATTGAAGCTGCAGATTTAAGGTTTAAAGATTTGCTTTTCCCATCCAATACCACTTAATCCCACTAGAACTTATGGCAAGTGCCTCTGGCAGTCCTAGGATTAACTGAATGTGTTAGAAATTGTGGAGGATTACGATCTCTCACCTGTTCAGTGACAGATACTAAGAACCATTTCCATGGTCACTACGTGACTAGGAAATCTCTCTGCTCCTTCTTGCTGGGAAAATACTTGAATTTTTTATTTTTCTTCTTTGACGGTCGAAGTGGGGGCTCTTCCTTTCGGATGGTAGTGGGGGGAGGCGTTGTAGTTACAGTTACACCTGTGAAATTTATAAAGAAATACAAAAGCCTTTAGGCCTGGTTCACACCACTGTGTTTTTTTTTATTGCTTTTCGCAGAAATGCACTACAGTTTATTTAACATGGTTTCCTATGGGACATGCTGACATCTATGTGTTTTTCAGCCTCTGCGTTTTTGGAACCATTCACAGACTTTTTTTAAATGCAAAAAGCAGTGTTTTTGCTACAATAGAGTTCAATGGAGACGCTTCTGAAACACATGTAGTGCCTTTTTGTTGTGTTTTTATTCTGCCTAGCAACAAAAACATTTCCCCTTTAACAAAAAAACAAAAAACAAAAAGACAAAGCTGAAAAAATCCACAAAACGCAGTAAAATTGCGGCAAAAATGCATGTGTAAAAGCGCAAAGCAAAAGGCAAAAATCATTGCAAAAATGGATCAAAAGCAAACTGCAAAAATGTGAACCAGGCCTTAATGACCAAAGCTGTAATTAGAGTAATTCCAGAAAAAGTTACTTTTATGTAATTTTAAAAAATATATTGTTCATGCAAACTCTGCAGGAACAATGACTCTTCTCTGCTTCATGAAAGAAATGAACAATGGAAAGCAGATTTCTATGATAAATCAGCATTTAGTAGCAGGCTGGAACACAAATTAACATATAAACGCTCATGACAGCAAATATTTGTTCACATTTGTGAACATGCTTAGGAACAACCTAGACATTTAAACTGAGGATGACAATGTATTAACTATTCTGCTACAATAAATACAGAAAGCTGTAAGTATGTATTAAAATGTACTGACTGCATTAATAGGGAAATCAAGAGGAAATGTAAAAAAAAATCAATAGCAAGATCATGGAATCAACCAACAGCTGAATTGTATGATGTCAAACCCAACATGCATGGGAGTCTATTTATCAAATAACTCTTCACCCCGATGTTGGTGCAAGGTTATAAGATTTGGCTTTTCTTACTACGAATTTTCCAAAATGATGCAGACAACACCGATCCCCAGACATAAGAGCTTTTTCATCCAGTTAAAATTGTAGGAACAGCATAAACAAACAAAGCCTTGAGACAGTCCGCTCATAAGGTCTTGTTTGTTCATGCTTAATCATAAGTGTTGTTTCTTTGTGATGTTTCTATACTTTTATCTAAATAAAGAGGTTGTTATACATGGAAAGCAATGTGCTGTTTCCCTTGTCATTGGTTTTTCTTTTTACCCCCCGCCACCCCAACTGTGTCTTCTTCATGTCTCCACGCCGTTCCCTAGATCTCTACTTGAGTGTACAGACCATTTAAAGTCTAATTATATGCAGTCATAACTTTTGTTACTCATGCTCCAAATGCATAGCAATTATTTCTATTGATCTTAAATTGCACATGTGCCCAGACAATGAATGATACTGGCAATGGGTTAAAGGAAAGCCATCCCTTACCTCTCTAGCTGTTTGCACTGTGAACTAATTAAAGCTGAAGTTTAGGCATGGATATTTTTGCATAGTTACATTGAACCAGCTTGGATCAATATAAGTATGTATGGGCCATATTTGGCCGATCCCTGTGGAAGCAAATCACTGTAGTAGACACTGCTTCTAGAGTGATCACTGCTAGCTTCCAGGTCTTATGCCCATAACCACCCCATCTCCCCACCTTGTCCAATCAGAGAATGTCTTGCATTCTTTGAAAAAATTCAAGGTGTTCTCTGAAAGGAAGCCATGCTGAATGAGCAACTCACCGTGTTCACTAAGCAGCAGGGCAGCCACACAACATGGTACCCAAAAGCTAGAGCTGATCAGTGTCGTAGGCTCGACCAGGTATGGCATATGCATACTTACATTGGTCCAACCTGGACCGATGTAACTATACAAAAATTGCCATACCTGGAATTCCAATTTAATTCTCAAAGATCCCAACAAAGACTCTAGGTTTGAGTTGGCTTCTAACAGCTTAGAAACACTTAATGAGTGTCTACATTAGAGGGCGGCAGGTTACCAAGACAGTTATAGAGAAAAACAAGATTTCAGTGCCTCAGTTGTTAAGATTAATTTCTAAATAGTGCCTATAGCTACAGTGTGTCTGTTGTGTACAGATGGCTTGTTTAAAAAGTGTTTTATATTGCTTGTTTTTTTACTGCTCTACTCAGAATATGTAACTACTAGAGGGTGCATAAACTGGACAGGAGTTCACTTTGTGGACTTAGAACCCCATATACCCAGCTTGTTCCTGTTACTTGTTAAAACTGAATAACATACAAATATAACAGTAATAAAATTTAGAATATACTTAGGATATCCTAAAAAGCAAAAATATTTAAAAGACAATTACCTGCAGCCCCCCTGTGCTCATGGGAAGTGTGGTGACCTCTGATAGGTAAGGAACTTACTGCCTCACACCTGCACTCCAAATGGTCCTCCAGAGGAATGGGGACAAGTTGAACATCCTTCTTGGATTTCCTGATCACAATTTTCTTCACCTGCATCAACAGCACATATATTAGAACCATTTTTAACAGCTGGATGACTGGCCCTACCAGTGTGCTGATTATTAACTCTAGTAAAATTGTCAGTAAACTGTACAAAGTAGCACTGTTTGATGCATGAATACAGCAGACCAAAGGTCAATCATTTCTAATATTTATATGCTAATAGCCAGACCTGAAAGCTCTCCACTAGCCAATAAGTGGAAATGCTGTCTCTTTTTGGATTCATAATAGAACATTAAAACAAACTTGGTTCTCCTCTTCATGTTCTGCCTGCAGAATCATCATACTGTGCATTGAGCAGATATTTCCATTGCCCCAAATCGCAGATTCCACAATACAAATAGTCCAAACAGGAATTTTCCATAAAAAACATCACACTTTTCCAAAGCACAGCAATTTCCTGGAAAGTACCCCCAACAGTGGGTACATAAGCAGCATAATGAGAGAAATTCTTTCCTGTACAAAATCTGTTTAATGTACTCATGGACTCTGATTTTATTTTATCTTTTTAAACTAGATCTTGTTTCTACACTTGTGGATGTAAAATGTCGGGAAGCTTCTTTTTTGTACTACATTTTTTTACATAATAAACATTTCTAAAGAAGCCCAGTAATGAAATGGCCTGGCTACACATGCCATACTGTCAGGAAATTTGGCAGGCTGTCAAGTAAAACATTGCTTTGATCCCATGGAAATGGGGAGGACTATGCATTCCAGGTGGAATATTTTCATTTTTATTTTCCAGTGTGAATGTGTATTTTCAATTAATCCAAGTTTTATAATGCCTAAATTATGTGATATTAATCTAAGCTTTGGTGCAGCTAACCATGAAGATGGCATTAGTAGTCAAAAACTGCCAGTATGAATGAGTGTAATCATTAAGGCTTGATTCACACCTTTGCCTTTCTGCTCCATGCATTTTCTGTTAAAATCAAAGGAAACACATCAAAATGCATCTCAAAGCATGCCTTAAGATGTACATCAACACATCCATGCACCATGGCACACATAAACACATTACAGTGTGAATCGGTGTGCGTTGATGCGTGTTAACATTCAAAGTGCATTTCAATTGAAAATACAAGGCAATACACACTAACTGCAATCAGCGTGCCTTGACATGCATTTTGATGCATTTCCACCTATTTTAATGGAATGAATTGGGGACAAAAACATATGTGTGATTTCAGCATGCCTTTTGTCGTTTTATCTGAAAAATCGTTATTGCTGGACCCCTACACCAACCCAAAGTTTTCTATGCTATACTGAGTTTTTAATGCAGTAAAATTGTAAGTGCAGATTTGGTACCCATAAAAAAGCTGATTAAAAAGCATACTGGTTAATTTAAGATTACAGTAAATGGAATGACAACATATTAGATATCAAAAAGGCAGATGGAAAAATCATTTACACTATCAAAAAGTTTGGCTCAGATGGCCTACCACATTAGTCTTTTGGATTTTACAAACCTGCTGAGGAGTGCAGCCAAATCATATGGTGAATGGGTGGCATAATCAATAGCAACCAATCAGTATGGGTTTTCAGTTTAATCAGATTGTAGAAACTGATTGTTAATTTGTTGCAGTGGCTTGCTATATACATTTACACTTTTTGCCTTATTTAATTTAGAAACTCTTGTTCTATGTGCAAGTTAATAAAGCTGAAGTTGATAAATTGCAACAAATAGCTTTTAATACAGTGGTTATGTGTTTGCAGATTATTTCTCTACCATGCAAGGGAAGGAGAAATATGGTGCTGGGGTGACAGAGATATTGGGGTTCCAGCACTGACAATTATTAGACAGAGGCATTACTGTGTGGGATTTTTGCAGATGTAAGACATTGTAAGGTAATGCCCTTGGAAACGTACACAGTGTCATTCCTCATATCCTTCAGTCTCAGTATAGAAGGGGGTGTATTTGACTGCCAAGCCAGTGGTTGAGTGTAATGTGGTCACAGGTTTTTCAATGAATAGGAAGATCAGTGGTGAGAACTTGATCCTGTTACCAGGCAGAAGATGAAAACTAGTAGTATAGGAAGTATTTTAGATCATGCCACTTAAGAAGCATGGTAGGCTAAGGGTAGGCACAGTACTTGGCATAAATCTGCTTTTTGTTTAGACTTCAGCTGTAGTAAGTTACAGTGACCAACAACAGTCCATTTGGCTGAAATTAAACCAGTGCAAGATGTGTCCTAATGGGCTGTTATGGGCGAAAGCATTAAAAACAGGAACTCTTTACTGAAGGCAGTATCTTATTTAAGCTCATGTGCCATGTGGTCTATAACTTCTGACATATGCACCATGACATGCGGTATTTGTGTTTATTATGACTGACTGTCTGATCAAATCATGTAAGGATAACCAGTTTAAAAAAGCAACCATTTAGCTGATGTTTTAGACAGGAATTTCATCCACTGAATTTCTGATGAGACCTTGGTTAACGCTTTTGGACTTTTTGGTTGGTTAACGCTTTTGGACTTTTTGTGGATTTGTAACTTTAACTATGCATTGCTGACATATCCAGTACCTGTCAGCGCAGTGCAGGTTCCCAGCTACTGTACATATAACATTGTGAGAATTGAAAGGTAAAAAAACCCACAGAGGTATGTATTACCTGCACATGTCGGATGCGCATGCGGGATGGAACACATTTTATGTGTCTGGAGTTACAACACCCTGAGCACCTCTCAACCTCCACACATGGTGGCTGCACAAGGAAGTTGGCATTGGTTGGATCGACCATCTGGCGGGTGATTTCAAACACTTCTGTTCTGGGTTTGCACTCTGCGATCTGAGCCTGCTGCGCATCTGCAAACAAGCAATATATCTGGTCAGTTATACAGTGAATAAGCTTCTGCAAGTTTTAAATAGTGTGTTGAGTTCATGTGACAGAACCCTGAACTCACATCAAAGATACACGGCACAGAATTTCTCACCAGTGACAGAATGCTTGGCTACTACGAGAGATAGATTAAGGTAGAATAAGCCCTAAGCAAGGTAAAATCACTTTGATTACACTGATCAGGATTAGATAAGGACAGGCACAGAGCTGCTTACTCATTTGCACTGCCGCTATTGGCATGACCCATCCCCATCATCAAACACCAACTAGCAACTGACTACAAGTGCATGTATTCTCTCTTGTGACATGACAGGCAGTTGAACTACCTCAACTAATTTTTAACATAGGCTATACCCCATAGACATCCACCACGCTATAGGCTCCTGACTAGGTTGCCTTGTAAATTATTTGGCTCTGACTACTACTTAAATGTTGCATCTTTTATCATCTGATTTAATGCCAGTGGATTGCAAACCAATAACTGTAATATCTGTTACCATGCAAATCCTTTCCTTCTAATAAAGTTGGAGGTTGTGCAAAGAGTGCTTGTCTGATATCACCCGTCTCATGAAAATGTTTGTTATATACTATGAACAGCTGTATGCTTTCTGACATGTAGTTGAGAAACCTTTGTATATGCACAAGTACACACTGTGAGTACAATTTTGATAAACCCAGTTAACCATAAAGTAGGTATGCATGATGTAATTTGCAAGCTATGCCTCTTTGTCATTGAGAAATGGTTTAGCCCAGGGATATCTCTTACCTAAGCTGCGAATGACCCGGGAGTGGCTGGAACTGCCCCTAGGCAAACTTCTTGTTTCATTTCTGGTTAATTCATACACATCGTCCTCATCATCTAGCAAGGGAAACAAGATTTAAAAGAGATTTAAACATTTCCATCTACTATATAGAGCCATGTGTACTTCAAGGTCAGCTTACAAAGAAATGGGTGCACTGCAGAGCAAACATCAGCTGTGGTTAAAGTTTAGATTATATCGCTAAAGCGTGCGGAGCTGTAAGATCTGCAATTTTCACGCTTACATTGTCACAGATTTGCTTCCTGTAAAAGTTAATGTGTCCATTAATAAACAAACTAAAAAGTACTTCACTTTACACGGCAGATGGTAAAGATTAATAGGTGTTCTTAAAACAAAAAAAAGAGAAATAAGTCCTATGGGCAGTGCAGTGGCACGTGGAGAGCATTCATTCTTTGCAGATAGTAAGCTATGTGGCTATGTGCATGGAGTCTGTGTTTTCATTGGTATCTTCTAGTTGTTCTGGCTTGTTCCCAGAACCTGTGAACATACAATGACGTTATTTGGCATCCACCCAAAATTACTACAACATAGTGGGAAACTAAAATTGCTTTTGGACTGATCTGAAAGGGTCAAGGGTTTCTGGAAATTATGTCAATACAATATAAATTAGTAAAAATATATAATAACAAATAAATACATAAATAAATATAAAAATAATCTGCATTAAATATGCTGCTCTGTGTTTGTCTCTATTTTGACGATATTTACAGTGCATTTGCCTATCAACATAGAAAGCAACATCACATTAAATCAGCAGGAAACGATTTCTAACGTTGAGCAGCAAATGTACATCAGAGCTTTTCTATTGCCAGTTCTGATCAATCAGAATGTCTTTATATTTCCAGCAATAGCTGGTATCTGACTGCTTGCTATTGGCACAAATAAACTTAACTTAAGGATGTATGTAAAACATAAGCACGAGGGTATAATAGAAAAAGGACAGTTAAGTGGGACATTCCACTTTTGAGTTTATATAATAAAAGAAAAAATTTCAAGGAGTGGAAACTGCATTTATTTTTCAACAAACTCCCCTGCTATATTTATGCACTGCACTTATTCCAGCTTTCAGCTAATGCCTGAAAAGCTTCAGCATAGAAAAATCTGACAGTATGCCTGAACCATCCTAGAACAGCCTGTTTCACTTCATCATCATTGTGTTCACTGCTCCCACAGCAAGATAAGTCTCTTGTGAAGTCTATGACAGGTTATGTGTCGATTATCCAGGATCAGGCATTCCACGTGCTGAATATTCACAGGAATGACTGTTGTGGGCTGGGAACCATCATGGTTGGGATCATCACTGATGAAAATATGACCATCTTTGGATCGTTTACACCACTGAAATATCTTACTGTGGCTGAGCATCTCATCAACATACTGTGTGAAGTCTTCTGTAGATATCTGTGGGTTTTATGCCTTCGTTCACAAGAAGCTTTAGCACCACGCGCTATTCCATGCACGCACTAACACTGTTGTCTGCCATCATGATTAACAGTCTCTGGACTGGCCTGCGACATGTGCACCGCCTATCAGTAATAGGACACACTTGCCACTTACTACTGCATGTAGTACCACCACATTAGGAACCCTTTTTATACCTGTAAAATTAAAAGTCCCGGTTTGACTTGAACACCCCTCGTATTTTACAGCTTTTTGTTTTAGCATAAATATGGACTACATCTACGTAATGTTAACCGCATGCATGAACTTTTGGTTATTTTTCAGCATGTGCTCAGAGCCCACTGTGCTTTTTTTTTCCAATTTTTACCTTTAAGTGCTACTAATAAGAGTTATATTCATAAAGCAGTGACTGTGGCATTCACCAAACATTCACTGCAGGTTAAATTAATCAATCACTGTAATGTAAATTACAAGCCCCAGAGAAGATCCACCTGTAGTAAACATTTGATGAATACCATATTCACTACTATATAAACAAATCCCAAAGAATTTTAACATTGCAATGAAAGATCTCCAACAATGCTTCATACCTGAGGACAGAAGCAAACCACAAATGTATGTGTACACTAGCCCCAAGGATAATGTGGAAAGTGTCACAGCTCACAACAACCAATCACCTTTCACTCGGGTGAATTTTTTTCTATACTCACAATGAAAACAGGATCCTACTAAAGGACATCCATGTGTTTAGCACTGTTAACAAAACAAACCATAGTGAAGGGGAGTGGGCATTAAGAGGAATGACATCAGTGTTTCCCCCAAAAACCTGGCACCAGTAAAATCACATCCTGCTGAGAGCTTCTATGGAACAAGAAGAATGCTGATGTGACCATTCCCTATCTCAATATGCAGTGGATGCCTCATTTACTTAGAGCCCAAGGGGGATAGTTAATTGCATTTATCTAATTTACAGTAAGGTATTTAGGATTTAGAATTTGGAGCCTGAGGAGGTTGTACTGTATCATTCCATCTAAAATAGATTTACATAAGGAGAAAACACATTGCTAAATGTTAATCACATGCCCTACTTGTGTTTCTTCATAGAACCTTAAAAGAAAATTTAAAGTGTATGTAACCCTAACAAAGAACACCTCTCATATGCTCCATTTTGGTCTGTTAAATATATCATTAAAAGGGTTTTGTTACATCAGTTTGATAAGTATTAAAAATACTTGTTGATCCCACCAGAAATCCATTGAATTTGTAAGTTCTTATAAGCTCTGCAATGTTATCTCAGGCAGTATTATCAGCTCAGTTCCCAGTTCACCTCTGTGGACCACAAAATGCCCTCTCCCTATATTATAGAGATGGGGAAACTGAAAGAGGTTCTGTAATCCTAACAAACTTCCCATCCTATGGGCTTCCATAGTTACAGAACAGTGATTTCTAAAACAGGAAATGTGTTGCTGGCTGTATAACCAGGTGCAAATAAAGAAAAATACAATTTTGTGCTGGGGTTTAGATACACTTTAAGTAAAACATGTTATGGGCTGGATACTCTTAAATAAAATACTATTCATATATACAGTGCATCCAGAAAGTATCCACAGCGCTTAACTTTTGACACATTTTGTTATTTTACAGCCTTATTCCAAAATGGATTAAATACATTTTTTTTCCTCAACATTCGACAAACAATACCCCATAATGACAACGTGAAAGAAGTTCATTTGAAATCTTTGCAATTTATTAAAAATAAAAAACGAAAAATCCACATGTTCACAAGTATTCACAACCTTTGCTCAATACTTTGTTGAAGCACCTTTAGCACCAATTACAGCCTCAAGTCGCTTTGAGTATGATGCTACAAGCTTGGCACACCTATTTTTGGGCAATTTCTCCCATTCTTCTTTGCAGTACCTCTCAAGCTCCATCAGGTTGGATGGGGGGCATCAGTGCACAGCCATTTTCAGATCTCTCCAGAGATGTTCAATCGGGTTCAAGTCTGGGCTCTGGCTGGGCCACTCCAGGACATTCACAGAGTTGGCCCGTAGCCACTCGTTTGTTATGTGGGCTGTGTGCTTAGGGTCTTTGTCCTGTTGAAAGATGAACTGTCGCCCCAGTCTAAGGTCCAGAGCGCTCTGGAACAGGTTTTCATTAAGGATGTCTCTGTACATTGCTGCATTCCTCTTTCCTTCGATCCTGACTAGTCTCCCAGTTCCTGCCACTGAAAAACATCCCCACAGCATGATGCTGTCACCACCATGCTTCACTGTAGGGATGGTATTGACCAGGTGGTGAGCGGTGCCTGGTTTCCTCCAGACATGATGCTTGGCATTCAGGCCAAAGAGTTCAATCTTTGTTTTATCAGACCAGAGAGTTTTGTTTCTCATGGTCGTAGAGTCCCTCAGGTGCCTTTTGGCAAACTCCCAGCGGGCTGCCATTTGCCTTTTACTGAGGAGTGGCTTCCATCTTGCCACTCTACCATACAGGCCTGATTGATGGAGTGCTTCAGAGATGGTTGTTCTTCTGGAAGGCTCTCCTCTCTCCACAGAGAAATGCTGGAGTTCTTTCAGAGTGACCATCGGGTGCTTGGTTACCTCCCTGGCTAATGATCACTGATTTTGGCCGAGCGGCCCCCTCTAGGAAGATTCCTAGTGCTTCCACACTTCTTCCATTTACGGATGATGGAGGCCACTGTGCTCATTGGGACCTTCAATGCTGCAGAAATGTTTCCATACCCTTCCCCAGATTTGTGCATTGATCCAATCCTGTCTCGGAGGTCTATGGACAATTCCTTGGGCTTCATGGCTTGGCTTGTGCTCTGACATGCACTGTTAACTGTGGGACCTTATATAGACAGGTTTATGCCTTTCCTAATCATGTCCAATCAACTGAATTTCCCACAGGTGGACTCCAATCAAGTTGTGGAAACATCTCAAGGATGATCAGTGGGAACAGGATGCACCAGAGCTCAATTTTGAGTGTCATGGCAAAGGCTGGGAATATTTTTTATTTTTTTATTTTTAATATATTGCAAAGATTTCAAAATGAACTTCTTTCACGTTGTCATTATGGGATATTGTTTGTAGGATGTTGAGGAAAAAATTTAATTTAATCCATTTGGGAATAAGGCTGTAACATAACAAAATGTGGCAAAAGTTAAGTGCTGTGAATACTTTCTGTATGCACTGTATTTTATATGGCACAGCAAAAACAGAATTTGTATTTTATAGACAATACAGAACCCATAAAAGATACAGAGATCCCACAGACATGTTAAACTATAGCCCGCATTTGCCCTATACCATGGTCACACTGTCACCTTGGCAGAAACCTCCCAGTCTGCCTATCTAGAAGGGAAACATTAAAATGGACCTGCTAGAACAATCACTTCTCTTGAAATAACAATAGCATGAAGGGGCCCAGTATATGAACACATAGATTCCAACAAAATCATCATCAACCCTTGATAATCATCGTCATCATCAATCACAATCAAGTTCATACCATGATGATTCTGTGGAATGATTCCATAGGGATGGATCTTCTGACCACCAACTTACATCTACAGTTATCCTTAGACTGGCCATAAATGGATTTGTCCATCCACCCAAACAAGGCACCCGCCACTGTCAGAATACATGAATCAATCAGCCACTGATCGTTGGATAATTTTTCAACATGTCTCTTTGACTAGTAATTTAGTAATTGACTTTTGTTGACTGGGGCAGATCACACCGTAAATGAAATTCAGATCGGCAGAATTTCGATCAGTGTATGGTCAGCTTAAGGCTTCATAACATAAAATATCACAAAACAGTTGCCACAAACGTTAAAGCTTGTGGAGGTCAGGTATATAGCATTTTCAAAAGAAGGCAAGCATTGTCATTTCTCTTAGTATAGGTTTGCCTTAATTGTGACTTGAAGAGAAGTTTGGGTCTTATATGGATATGGATTTAGGATCCAAGGTCCTCCACAAACACAAAAGGGATGATTTGAAGATAAAAACAGGTACTTTCAGGCACCGCCAGGCACTAGGTGTGGCCAGAGTAAGGCTTAGTTATACTTAGTTTGATTTCTCTTAATCATCCCCACAGGCTAAATGAGAAAAGTCAATTGATTCCCGCTATATAGCATCTACTCTTATTTAGTTATTGTACTCAGATAGCAGCAGCACCCGTGATTATCTGAATGCCCGGACAGTGAATGTATCAGATTGGAAGCAGTCATTGTTCTGCCAACAATTTTCCATCTGGTTCCTTTGATTCTGAATTCAACTTTTGCCGAGCCAGGAGGTACCAATGGGAAAATTCAGCAGGAATCTCCCTAAGTTTGAGCGGTGTGTGACCAGCTTAAGCCTAAAGCAGTAAGTTAAGCATTTTGAGCTTCCAACATGTTAATCATTTTTATTAAACCTATTACATGAAAAATTATTATAAAATGGATAACAGTGGTTTGTATATCATCACACCTGGCTATTACTAACTACCCTCAAGCACTACTCTAGCAAGTTTGGTGATAAATGTCATTAAAGCACACAATAAAACTGACAGTAGTATATAACATGTATATGAAATTACAAAGTCTATATAGTTCAGTGTTAATATTATTAACTCATTTATCTCCCTTGAAAATATATGTTATTCTGGGAAAGGAATAAAAGAAGACAATGGCTATTATTTAGATTTTTTGTAACCCTCAGTAAGCTGTGTTTCCAAAACAGCCTTTCACCACACCCTGTCTGTATGAGAACACACCAAGGACAAACAGTGAATAGACCAGGAACTGCTGGGGTCTGACTGTCCCCAGGCTTATTAATGACACTGCATTGTGTATGTTACAAATCATGAAATTACCATTTCTAGAAATGAATGAGGCTTCTAGAAGGAATTATAACACACTGGAGTTTCTAAAGTTCACTGTAAGCACCCAAATCCTCCACCTACTTTGTAAACGAGGTTAAAGTACATGCCCAAGCACATATGGTTAAGACTGGAGGGAGTGTTCGGTCAGTTTTTTTTACAAGAGATTTCTCTCAAATGCAAATCAAAAATAATTTAGCTTAAAATAGTAAGGAAGATGAATATAATTTGAACAAAGTCATTCTTTACTATTTAAAAAAAGAATAGTTTAATTATAAAGTGTCTTTCAGCTTGGCACAGTTAACTTTTACTAGTTCTCTTGTTTTCCCCCCAAAAAACAAGGCAGCCCATAGATGAGTCATTTTATTTCATTCAAACAGTGGGTTGAACGAAAAAAAATGACTTGATTTCCCTATCCACACACTCGATGTGGATGGGGGAATCCTCTCTTGTGAGCATTTGTATTCTGAAAATGGGGAGGCTTTCTCACAATCAGAATACACTGATCACCGCCACTGGCTATGGGCAGCAGCACTGATCAAGTGAAGAAAATCCGACAGGGCAGTTGTACAAAAGTGGATCTGCTTCTGTAAACCCTCCCTCCCCAAATACATGGATTCAAATTTGGACGGTCCCTGCTGAACAGGCTGAATTTCAATCCATGTATGGCAGACTTAATAAAGATATAACTATATTTAGTTGATTTAATGCACTACTGAAAGTATAGCTCTTTAAATGCACTAGTATGAACAGTTTGTAGATAAACCAATTTGTCTCCCCAATTTTGAATCTACTCTGATATTTACTATGACAGAAACTAAAGCTTGAAACAGGCTAAGCGTATATGCTGGGAAGACATTTTAAACCTATAGGTGAGTTTTTAGTTTGTAACAGGCAATTGTGGGGCCTTCACCTTACCTGACAAAACATTGCTATATATGATTTGACTTTCATGTTCATTTAGGAATGAACATTGAAAAGTAAAAACTTTTATTTCCCTCTACACGGGAGGGAGAGTCTTACTGATAGGATAAACAGCTGCATCCTGTATGGAGCTGTCATCTTTCATTTATACAGATCAGCTTTTTTTCAACTGGGGTTCCGTGGTTCCATGAATCCTTGAGAACCAGTGGACTTCCCACCTGATAGTGCCTGCATATTTTTGGTACCAACATCACTCAACAAAACCTCCTCTCATTATTTCATGTACATAACCACCACAAAAAATTATCTTTTTAACTGTCTGTAGGAATGCATATTTACTACTGATCATCAAAGTAAAGGGGCACAAAGGGTTCCGTCTCCACCAGCCGCCAACGTTAAGGGCTTTTTCTCCACTAACCACCATGGTAACGGGTTCCTTCTCTGCTAAACACGAATGTAAAGGATTCCTCCTCCACTGACCACCAGTGTAAAGGGTTTTGTCTTTACTGACCGTCAATTTTAAGGGTTCCTTCTCCACTGACTACTAATTTAAAAGTTGCCTTGTCTGCTGATGTAAGCTGTACAAAGCATGAGATGTTAAAAAATGGTCTGTTCTAGGTTACCCTAAGTATGTTACATTGTTTTATTATTACATCTACAACATACTGATCATGCTAATATACCGTGAGCTGTAGATATAATAATTTGTAGCTGAAGTTTCTGGATACTTGAACATTTTTTAAAGGGTTTTTTTTTATATTATAAAGGTTGAGAATGGCTGGCCAAGAGGATCAAGAGACAATTGGACACATCTAAAACAAAAATCCCTTTAAACAAAATCTGATGGAGGTTGCCATTGCTGACCTTTCCTTTTAAAAGAGTGACAACAAGTGGGCATTATCAGAAGGAGGTCGGCAGTGGTAACCTCTGTATTTTTCTCATGACAAGATTACTTTAAGGGTCATCCCCTAGAACACTTTCACAATAAAATGTAGATAATACGCTAGAAAATGTTGTGTGTGTGTGTGTGTGTGTGTGGGGGGGGGGGGGGGGGGGTATGTTTTGTTACTTCTGTGGTGATTGTTACTTCTACAGTCTATCCAAATAAAACTAGCTTGGAACAGGACAACGCATCTGTTGCTTTTGCAGCATTCACATTTGCAGCAGTGTTCACTCCCATCTAAATTTATAAATAATAATTTATTGTTTATAGAGGAAGGAGATAATTAGGAACTCATTGGTTTGCAGGAAGATAATTTCATACCAGGGAAGCATACACGGTACAGATATAAACAAGGCTTTTCATCAATTGTTTTAATATAATTAGGAGGGAGGGTTAAAAAAAAACAAATAGCACATCTGCCTGTTTTAAACCTGGAAATACTTTGATTCATATATATATATATATATATATATATATATATACAGAGAAAAGCATATCATTTATGAACCAGGAAAGGGCAACCAAGTGCAGAATCCTCCTTGGCTGCATCCCTAATAGTTTCATGCCAGATTCCCATTGGCATGGCCATGGTTTAGCACCACTGTATGTACTCCGTAGGTATTAATAGCACACACAGCTGCTACAGCTGGATGAAGTCTGGAAAGGAGAGGGCGGTTAGTGGAAAGGCGCAAGGAATTCTTTTTAAGCACAAGCCAGAGATGGAGACTTGCACAGCAGACAAAGAGGGGAAGTTGTGTCCAGACACAGATAGCCGAGTGCAAGGGTCTGACGTGCGTACAGAGACAATAGCAGAAAGGGAGGTCGCAGTGCCGCATAGCAAACTCTGTGCTCCTGGCTGGACTCCCTGCACACATGGGTCAGCCCTGTGTACTCATTAACCTCTAGGCTGGGGTGAAATATTGTGTGTGTGTGTGTGTATATATATATATATATATATATATATATATATATATATATATAATTTATTTATTTCTTTTTTAAATTGCATTCTGTAGAGTTAAGCTTTTGGCAATAGTGGGGAAAAGGTTGAGTGGCCATTGACATGAAAATGGTTTGTACCCACAATATAACAAACAACAGAACATTTCCAGCAGGCACATGCACATTATGATCACTCATAAATGATTTACAATTTGTTACACACAAATGTAAAGATTATAAGCATCAAACCAAAAACTTAATCTGTATATAACCATCTTCAAAAATTTGTATGAAAAGACAGTTCTGTAGAGATTTACCTACGGAATCTATTTTCAGCAGTCTTTGTATATCGTTTATAGACTTGACAGATCCTGCTGCAATTTTCTCGTACATTTCTTCTGGAATAGGGTCCCCCTGTCAAAGAATTAGTAGTAAAAAATGAATATGATTATCAGAGAAGCATGTGTAATAATTAGTGAAAATAAATAAAAAGAATAAATCTATATTAAGAAAACAGATTTACATATTCATTTTAGAGTAAAATGAGCAATGACCATCCTTATCATCAGCAGACGTTCACAACCTACACGGAATGGCTTATCATGTAAATAGTTTAAAGCATCCTCCTCACAGGACTGAGTCATGTACTGTCACTGAATATCATATCAGCAGACTGTCTACAGGTGGAATATTTGCATTCAGTCTCTAAATTGAGATTGTTTTCTCTTTAGGTGACATGACTGAATGCTACATGTACATTTGACATGATTTTCAAATTTTTTGTACTTTAAGTAGGGGCATGGTATTCAATTAAAAATGGTGTGGTTCTACAAGAGCGAAGTTATGAATTTAGCCCCCTTGCTCCTAAAGTAACCTTACTGTCCCAATTTTCTGATCTCTGCAAGTTCCCAGCCACCTTCCGTAGAATACTATTGGACCCCTAGCCAAACACACCACCTTTGCAGATTAATACAAGAAAATATTTTCTTATCATCATTTAAGGGTCCCATACCTAATACATGACATCACTTCTGAAAAGGACAATCATTCGTCCAATATTCTCATCGTGTGTACGGGGCTTAACAGATCACTTTGGGGTTCCTGGCCAACCCACTAACCATTTCACAGATTACAGAGGGGTCCCCAGCTAAAGCTCTTTTAAGATTAATGTGGGGTCACCAACAATCCACCCTATTTTCTTCAAAGATCACAGTGGGGTCCACAGCCCTTTCCCCTACACCCTTACAGATCCCTTGGGGGTCACAAGCCTATCCCATCCTAATAATATTAGCGCATAGACTACTGTGGTACCCCCAGTCAATTCCACAACCCCCTTCAAAGATCACTGTGGAGTCCTCAGCCAAACCCCCCATTCCCTACACAGGTGGAGTTCCCAGTACTCCATTTGCCGATTGCTATGTGATGCCAATCATCCTCATAACAACATCTATTTTACTGGTGTATTAGGATGACCCCCCCTTTATAAGTAGGATTCTTAGCTAGTGTGTCCAAGCATGTTTCTACCACTAAAACTAACCTGATACCAAGGGTTAGTAGGCCAGAGGACAGTCATGAGGCAGCATGGGAAGTGTCCACTATTGCCCATTAGAAATGGAGCAAAGCAGAGAGACAGCTACACGACACCACACTGATAATGAACAGTGTCAGCCTCACATTGCCAATAGCCAAGTAAACTGACCATTCAAGGTTGCAGAGCCATGTATGAGGAGGCCTAACACACAAGTAATCAGGCACCAGACAATACTTTCTGGTTGTATGGGAGAACACAGCTCACAGCTGTAGCAGGACAATGGATTAAAAAGTGGAACTGTCCTCCCAAATCCAGGACAGTTAGAAAATATGGAATGTTTGACATGGTTAACTCTTCAGAAAACATGAATGGATGCTTCAGGAACAACTGACGCTTTGCTGTTGAACAATTGCAGCGGTACACATGCGGTACACATGCAGAAAAATGAGGATAGATTGCATATTCTTGGTAAGGGAAGAGAGCAATGGTGATGTGAAATGTGTAGCCACCCACAGCAAACAATCTTATTTTACTTTCATGGAAAGAGATGAGGAGAGAGATGAAACCTCTGAAAGTTCAGTAGCACAAAAACCTTCTACCACTTTAAATTTCAAAGCAAGCTGCATTACAAATTACAATTACCATAATTTATTATTTTTTTCAGGTACTTATAGAGTGCCATCAATTTATGCAGTGCTTTACATATATATTCATATATGTACATTCACATCAGTCCCTAACCCTCAAGGGGAATACAATCTAAGGTCCCTAACTTACATTCATACATACACTAGGGCCAATTTAGACAGGATCCAAACAACCTACCAGCATGTCTTTGGAGTGTGGAAGAAAACTGGAGTACCTGGAGGAAACCCATGCAGGCACAGGGAGAACATGTAAACTCCAGGTAGGTGGTGCCGTAGCTGGGATTTGAACCAGCAACCCTAGTACTGCCAGGCAGAAGTGCTAACCATCTTGCCATCATTAACTGTTCCATTATTTTGTGACAGTAATTCCATACCAGGATGTATGATATTTAGGTCTGATCAGAAGAGTTAAATGAATACAATGATAAATAAAAGTATTAACATTAATTAGGTGGCCTCTCCATTCTAGTCACTGAGCTGCCATCAATGTGTGTTGGGGGAGTCAGATAAAACATATCAAGTCAACAGGAAACATCAGAGCACATTTAATACACAGTTTGAATCCCCTTCTTGAATTCTGTGAAGGTGTTCAGGCTCTGCACACAGTTCTCCCACACATAAAAACCCAGCCCAGAGAGAGAAACAAGCCAGGACAAAGAAAATTCTGGCATGCTGCCTTTCTAGGAAAGAAATACTAGGACCACAAGGAGAGATGCCAGCTATTGTTCAGAGAAATGAATGCCCTGATGCAAAGGTGAGAAGGCTAAACAGAGAAAGAGGAGCTGAGGGAGAAAAGGATTCGAGGTTGGCAATCCTGAACCACTTGCTGAAATATTAGCCATCTCTCTGCTTTAGGCACAAGAATCTAGATAAGCCTCAGCTGCAGTGGAACTAAAGGTCCCAGGATTATTGACAGCATTTTGCTGAAAGGAGGTGCTGCTGCTTCTGTAAGTGTGTTACTGAGATCCTGCTCTACAGCATTCTGATTAACTTGACAAGTCTCAGGCTGCATACACACTTGAGCAATTAGAAGTGCATTTCCCAAAGTGCTTCAATGCTCAACATCAAGATTCCCATTATATTCAGAAGTGCCTGTTCACACTTGAGTGTCATGTCACCTAAAGCTTCAAAAAGTACATGAGCTTCTATGAGGTAGAGTTGTGTGGTTTTGGTCTATAGACTTCAACTGGAGCACCTGAAAAATATGTGTCACATGCATTTTTCAGCCAAACCAACGGAAATGTATTGTATTTATTACAGGTACTTATATAGCACTGTCAATTTACATATATATTGTACATTCACATCAGTCCCTAACCCCTTAAGGGGTGTACAATCTAAGGTCCCTAACTCACATTCACACATACAAATACTAGGGCCAATTTAGAGAGGAGCCAATAAACCTACCAGCATGTCTTTGGAGTGTGGAAGGAAACTGGAGTACCCGGAGGAAACCCACACAGGCACAGGGAGAACATGCAAACTTCAGGCCGGTGGTGCTGTGGTTGGGATTTGAACCGATGACCCGAGTACTGCCAGGCGGAAGTGCTAACCATTTTGCCACTGTGTTGCCGTAATGTATCAGGACCAAAAAAGCACAACTCTGCCCCAAAGAAGCTGCTTTTTTAGGCTATGTTCACACTAGCTTTGTCAGCAGGTGTCAGACAGGCGTTTGGGAAGCGTTTTTAACGCTTTTCAAATGCCTATGAAAATTTTTGAACATGGCAGCACACAGTGCTGTTCACAAGGAAGTGTTAGTGTCACGTTGCGTTGAATTGCGGCAAAACTGACGCCTCGTGTCCAGCCAGGAGGAATTGAAGCCTCCCATTCAAGTCTATGGTGCCACTCCGCAAACGCCTGGCAGGCTTTTGCGGTGTGGTTTCTGAGTGTTAATACCATTTAACTTCATTATAGGAGTTTGTGGTGCAGTTGTAACATTTGGCAAACGCCTATCAACTGCCTCAAAACAGCGCATAGGACATTTTGGGAGCGTTTGGGGAACGTTTGAAGAGTGTTAAAAATGCTTCCCAAATGCCTGTCTAATGCCTGTCAAACGCTATAGGGGCGTTTGGCAAGAGTTAGAAATAAAGTCAAATGTGAAGGAGCCCTTAAGCTTTAGGCGACACAATGCCCAGGTGTGAAAGGGCACCATGAAATATAATGGGAATCTTACCTCTATTCTACTTGTACTAACTAGCTTTCCTTTGGCTAAAATAAAAATGCTCAAGCTTGAAAACACCCAAAAAATGCGTGTACAAATGCGCATTAAAAAACTTTTCAAAAACACTTGAAGAACCTCAAGTTCAGGTGTAAACCTAGCCTGAAGAAAAAAAAAAATGCAGATGAACAGTAAGCATAGAGTAAAAATACAAAAATGCTAATGTGCAAATATGCCTTATCTATGAGGAATGTTAAGAGAACATTGCTATTATTAAATAAAGATAAAAGTAGCAATAAACTGAAGACTTGTAAAAAGAAAAAAAAACATACTATAAACAAAGAAACAAAAGAGGCAAGGAGGTCCAGACATCCTGACATGTTGCACCTGTACTGGAAGGCAGCCAAGGAACATGTATCATTACAAGCACTACTTCAAACCCTGCCCAGTCTAAGCGGCTCGAATGTTTTCACATTCCTGTTATGTCCTGCCAGGCAGGTAGGCAACAGCTGGAAAGCCAGCTCAAGTCTACCCCTGCTGTGACACGTGCTGTTCAAGTTCAAAATGTGGGGCACCACCAAGCCCATCCTGTACCAATCCCTATGTATCAATCCCAAGTGCTGTTACTTCAGTCAACCACAACTGGGATCTACATGCATATCTTTGACTTTACTTGGGGAGAAGCTATTGGTTAAGACCTAAAACTGAGATGAGATAATTCCTGTCTTCATTACAGTCAGAAACCAGTGTACGTGTATGGGCACACTGTGACCTCCCAAGAACTTCGAGGAAAAATAAACGACGTGAAATGGATTTTCCTGGATAACCATTTACAATGATGCCATTTCCTCAATGTATAAACATCATAGGATCACACAAGCTAACAGACAAGGATAGAGATTCTTACGGTCAAAAAAATGAAGTTATTTTTCAACTAAGAGTCAATAAGAAATGAAGATTACAGTTACATGGCTGAAAAAAAGATCATTATCCTTGTGTTTAAAGTTTGTGACTAGAATTCTATTCATGTTTCTTTCATGAATGTTCTACAGAATAGTTATGTGCCAGTTAGATTTTA